GAGCGCGCTCCCCCCCGCAGCACTCAGATATGTTTTATCCTCTCGTGTAGCAGCTCTGAAGAGCAAAGCAGGGCGCGCAGCACACTCTGCAGGCAAGAGGCACGGGAAGAAGCCAGGTATGTGCTGGCGGGGACAAGCCAGGCTGGAGCGGCACGTGCTTGGCAAGACCCCGTAGCAAGCCCTGCCAGATACCACCTCCGTAGCATTTGTCCTCCTAGCTGTACTCCTAGCAGCTTTTTGGGTGCCAGTTGGCATGACCTCCACCAAACTGAGGCCATGGCCAGTAGATATTTTTTTAAGCTGTTCAGACGTGTAGATCCTTATCCTGAATAACCTGATTCACACCACCGAACACCCATAAAGAGGGGGACACATGAGTAGCTCCTCCCAGCTCTGTGCATTGCAATAGCGCTGTGCATTGAGGTTTTTCATGCATCAGACTTTGAGGAGGGGAGAAGAAGATGAGAAATTTAGCAGCTACCAGCTGTCTGGTGCAGAAATAGATGCCGGCGCTGCCAGAGTGGTGTTCTTGGCTCAGCTTGGTATTGTTCTCGTAGCAGAGCTGCTTGTGGTGGGGTAGGACGCAGAGCAATGCTAAGCGGTGAGAGTGTCTCTGATTTTTCTTAAGCATCCTCAAAGAGCTCAAAACTCATCCGGCTCAAACCAGACTCTGGCCCAGTGGCTCCTATCGAAACGTATAAAGGTAAGAGGAGGGAGTGCGGTGCTCCAGGGCTCCTAGTTTTTGTCCAGGTGATGTGGTCCAGCAGCCTCCGACATGGAGAAGATGGGGAGGGTTTGCCCATCTGCGTCATGGTTAGCTGTATGTAGGAGTGCATCCCTGGGGTGGAATGACGCGTGGGAATTGCGGCAGCCAGAAGTATTTGAGCTGAAATTCTTTGGGTATTGGTCAAACAGGCAGAAGTTGTTTCACAGAGGGTCAAGATTACAGTGAACTCTCAGTTCCTTCTCAGGCAGCTGTGAACCATGGGGAAACCTCTGCCCTGCTCCATCTTGCCTGATCTTCATTCATTGACACAAGTCTCCTCCAGTCACATGTGCATGTCAACCCACATCCTTCCCTCCCATCCCTCTGCTGTCCTTGAATATTTAATGCTAGAGCTTGGACCAAGCCCCAGCTGGAACCTCTCTCCTCCTCTCTAAAGGCTGGGGAAGCTCAGACCTGGCTGACGCCATCTCTGCTCACGTTATACCCTGCCCAAGCTGGCTGGGACATCTCCTGACCAGGACTGCTGTGCCACAAGGCAACTAGGGTACCTCCTCTCCTGTGTTATACTTTTAAATTCCCAGAAAGATCCAGCACACTGAATCTAACACTGCAAGGTGGTCACCAGCCCAATTCATGGTAATAAGAAGCAAGTAATCAAATTTCTCTGGCCACAAATTCAACGTGCCCACAGCTGAGAGAGGTCAGCCCTGGGGACAGGAGCAGTGGTTGGCCAAGTGATAGTGGCATCTCCCATCCCACCAGCAGCCTTCGCAGGCATCCCCGAGCTGGGCCAGGCAGCCCTGGTTCAAACCTTCACACACTTGCCCACCGTCTTTTGAAGGATCCCACACAAGCCACGCTTCCTTGCGCAGACTCATTTTAAGCATTTAACTTGAGAGTCACCATATTTCACAACCAGCGTTGGTTTGGGAGGTACAACAGCAAGGGACACACTGAGGAGGGACACAGAGGGGGAAAAAGCCAAAGAGGCAGCGAGGTTTTACCTGGACATGCAGCAGCTTCAGCTCCACTTCAGCCTTGTCCAGGGCCTTCCCATCACTGGAAGCAGCAAGCACTGCCAGACCCTCTGCCAGCCCGCTCCTTGTCTCCAGCAGGGCTCTGCACCCCAGCCCAGCTCCCATGCAGGTCCTGCAGCCCCACCAGAGCCAAACTCAGGCACCAAGCTGAGCTCTGCTTATTAACAAGGCAGCTCTTTAATTAACACCTGACTCCCCTCCACAGCCTGCTGCCTGCTCCCATCATTCTGCATTTCCTTAAAGAGATCGTGCCCTGGGACAGCCGGGGGCTGGCTCCTGCTTGTGCCCACCCCAAGGGCACAGAACCCCCTGACCCACCCTTGTCTCTGAGCAACGACTTCCAGCCCGATCCCCCCTGGCAGAGAAGAATCGCAGCCACTGTGCGCACTCATCCTGCCCAGCCCTGCGTGGGCTGCGGCCGTGGCATTTCACTGGAGTAGGAGCCTCCTCCAAAGCCTCTGCCTGGCACGAGGGAGGACGCTCCTGGCCCGGCTCCCCAGCTCTCTCCTCCTTTCCGCAGACTGCGAGTGCTACGGCCACTCCAACCGCCGCAGCTACATCGATTTCCTGAACGTGGTGACCTGCGTGAGCTGCAAGCACAACACGCGGGGCCAGCACTGCCAGCACTGCCGCCTGGGCTTCTACCGTAACAGCTCGGCAGAGCTGGACGACGAGAATGTGTGCATTGGTGAGCACTGTGGTGGCCTCGGGCTGCGGCACCGGGATGTGGGATGGCTCGTGCAGGACCTCGGTCTATGGGGTGGGCTTCAGTTCAGTCCCTCTCTGGAGGGTGGTGTGTCCCCCTGCATGCTCCCCAAGGACAGCAGCGATCTCTGCAGCACACCATGGTATCTCTTCCATGAAAACAAAAGCCCAAATAATATTTTTCCAACTGGATTCAGCTGCATTGCTCTACCAGGAGCTGCTCAGCTCCAAAGCGGGGTGGTCTTTGCCCCCATGGCTGTTTGCTCTGTTGGAGCCTTTCATGCAGCCATGCTCTCCTAGCCCTAGTCTCTAAGGTCCCTCCTGTAGCAGGTAGCCAGGCTTTTCCAAAGCCCCCAGCACCTCTCTCGGGGCATTAGCAGGCACAAAGCCCCCGGGCAGGACAGGCACTAACAGCCCTTGTCTTTGGCCAGAATGTAACTGCAACCAGATCGGCTCCATGCACGACCGCTGCAACGAGACCGGCTACTGTGAATGCAAAGAAGGTGCCACGGGGCCCAAGTGCGACGACTGCCTGCCCAACTACTACTGGAGACAGGGCTGCTTCCGTAAGTACCCGGGCAGCACTGTGTCCCTCTGAGCCAGAAAGGGTTCAAACAACAGGGGGATCTTCAGCACCGCCTGCTCGGGTGCCCTGTGATGCTCAGGGTGTAGGGTGAGCAGACTCCAGCCGTTCCTCCCAAATCCAAAATGACTCGATAGCTTTGCCCCTGGAGTTTGCAGTCCCCACTGTGTTCCTCTGGCCCTAGGGCTGCTCTAGGGCTACGAGGATTGGATAATTTAACCCCTAGGAGCTAGAGAAGAAAGCCAAAATCTTCTTGTTTCTGCTGCAGTCCAGGGGTTTAACATACCCCAGATTAACACCCACGTCCTTCCCTCCCATCTTGTAGCCAACGTCTGCGACGATGAGCTCCTGCTCTGCCAGAACGGTGGCCCCTGCTACCAAAACCAGCGCTGCATCTGCCCCGTGGGCTTCAAGGGGGTCCTGTGCCAGCAATCCAGGTGCGAAGCTGACAAAAAGGACTGCGACGGTGCCCCCAGCGCGCACAGCAGCCTATTAACACCCACGTCCTTCCCTCCCATCTTGTAGCCAACGTCTGCGACGATGAGCTCCTGCTCTGCCAGAACGGTGGCCCCTGCTACCAAAACCAGCGCTGCATCTGCCCCGTGGGCTTCAAGGGGGTCCTGTGCCAGCAATCCAGGTGCGAAGCTGACAAAAAGGACTGCGACGGTGCCCCCAGCGCGCACAGCAGCCTCGGCACCGTCCTCCTCGGGGTGCTCGCCCTCCAGCTGCGCGGCTGGGTGGACCTC